AAATTAGGTTTGACATGTCAATCCTCGCGTGCATCTCAATTGATCCATTCTTGACGGGATCGTTTGTGCGTTCATCCAACCTTCTTCGATGGACCAAATCGAAGTCTAGCCAGGACGGCGGGCCTTTGTGGCTTGCCATGTGTCATTGAGCTGATGGTATTTCTTTCGTCGGCAATGCGCGCTAAGGCATTTGGGCTAGAATAATGCCAAACTATGGCGAATTGAGTTCAAGATCGATCGCGGTGGGGAGTGAGGCGTCGAGGACTGCCAGCTGAAGACAGCGCCAAAAGTCCAATCGAGGCGACTCAAGTAGGTATATGAGAATCAACAATTGCCATCGCAGTTCGGCGATTTGAGTCCTCACACTTTCATTGGCGTGGATTGTTTTCGATAATAGAAACATATCTTTGAGATGAACCACTTGAACTTCGGAAGCCACTACATTTCATCTCAAGTCCTCCTGGGCGAAACACACTGGACAGTGATGATCCCCTCCGCTGTTCGCTCTGCCCTACCACAGTTCGTTCTGGACCGTGCTTCTCAGGCCCAACCACGGGGCTTGCGATGTCCGTGGTGTAAAGGGCGGGAGTAACACCAAGGCCCCGACCCCGGGCCACTGTGGAGACCTCTGGTGGTAGCGCTGGCGCCGCCCAAGATCGCATTAACCACGGGACCTAGCAGTAACTAGTGTTTTGGACTGGTATTGAGGTAGCCATGGCCCATGACGAGCATCAGTAGGCATGCTCGTAGCCTGGATGTAGTCCCAGCCAAAAGGGGCGTGGGCTTTTGTGTTCCGATATAGCGGTAGATCATAGAAGATCGTGACAGCTTCATGCCCACGATTCTAGCTTGTAAGTAGCGCCGGCACTAGAACACTGGGGCAGCGCCCGGGTGACACTTCGCCATCCGAGCCCGGCATCGATCCACAGTGCCTCGTGTCCGGGAGGGTAACGGAGGTGATGTCCGTCCGCCTGTTAAGACACTCTCTACATTATGGCCTCTGACTCAGCAAACAGTTTCTGTCGCGGGGAGATTGTAGATTTAAGTCGAGAAACAGAGCGACAACGGTAGTGTCTTGCACATACTTAGTCACTCATTCAAACGCTTCCCCATTTCATCGATTACATTGGGCCTGTGTAGGAGTGCCTGCCTGCCAGGTTGTGTGGTTGCTAAGTACGGACACAAGCTGAGAAGGCCATGGGAGATTCACCTGTGGAAGTGATCCGGCCCGCAACCTACCCATCCATTTCTCTCACGATTGACGCATAATGCCCCGAAATGTCGATCTTGCTCCCCTCACTGCTGCTCACAACAGACTCTACTCAGCAGAGGGAAACGTGGGCCCAGGCCATTGAGGCCGGGTAAACATCATACGTACGTAGGCCAACCAATGTTCCCCGTGTCCGGACCCCGCTAAATGGCATCAATCCTTGAGTGATTTTCAAGATTTCCCACTCAACCGCAGATAGTAATTTGCGCATTATCCCGACAGTTCTCGTCAAAGTCTGACAAACAGTCGAGCTTACTACATTTGTAGAGAACAGCGAGCTTCTAGCAACTAAGTGCTATTCGGAAAAGCCTGAGACTCGCCTGTTTTACCCCTCATCTCATTTGAATCACATCGTATTCCAACCACCAAACACCCGATGGCCGGTAGGGTGTCTTGGTCGTTCCTGGCAAGGCATAGGAATGTCTTACACAAAGTGGTTGGCGTATCACAACGGTCAGGCCCGACATGGCTTTGAAAATACGGGTTAGACAGAGGGGAAGTAGAACCATCCCGGAATACTTGCCACTTCGACGGGTCGACCTCGTTCCACGCCACCATCGTCAGTGGCATCGCAACCCCCTCAGCTTCTTGGCATCAGCCTCAAGCTCGAATCCGAAGACTGCCGGGTGAGCGGCAGTAGGTAATAGTTGGGAACAACCGGACTTTGCAAGGTGACACAAACCTTTTTTCCTCCTTCACGTAAGCATGTGCGATTCTGGTACCTTTTTTTATTTTATTTTACCCGACTGTGTGCGAGTATAACCCGATGCGGTGGATTGCGAGCCAAAAACTGCAGGAAGCTTCAGCTGTGCCGTGATGCAGCATTGCATCGTGCGTGGTGTGTGTGCAGAATTGGGCGAAGCGAGGAATCCTTCTGAGCAAGTTGGGAGACCGGGGAGGGGGGAGGAGACATCCTACACAACACGCAATCCGACGGACGGTATCAAGCTCGGAAGTTGAGCTTGTTATCATCCGTTGTCAGCGGTGCCGTGATGGAATACGTGAACCGTGAAAATTTTGACCAAATGTCAGGCCTTTCCCCTTCCTCTCTTGAGACTATGGAACTTTTTGCTGTGCCCGAGGATGACAGGGAAGACGAAGGCTGGAGAAGTGGGAAAGGAGTTGGTGAAACAGGAACATGGTTGGTTGTCTCTAAAGTCTGGGCAAACCCGTGTCTGCACGAAACTGGAGCAGTCAACTGCCTAAAAGGCGCCTCAATGGCGGCCGATGTTGCTGTCAACCCGGCATCGGATCCTCTGCCGACATGAAGGACACTGAGTTGGGATTCTTGGGAAGCATCATGGCTGGGATGCCGTGGGTGTTTGCCAGGCTCTTGTTTGTCTGCCACCGTAAGAGTCACATCAGAACTAGATCAAACCTGATACGCACAGGAGGCTCCAGTGACGACCATGGCCACGCAGGTGGTGATGGTGGACGCAGACGGCCGAGCAAAGCCAAAAGAAGACAAGAAAGCTTCAAGAAAGGCAAGAGGGTGTCGAGAACTCAACCCATAATGCTTGCCTCACCAGACCCCTGGCTGCTCTCATCGCCCGGCAGAGATGCTCTCGAAGCACCATAAGTCCCGTCTCCATTACCGGGGGCGCAAAGAGCATTTTGGTTCCGACTTTCAGGGCAGCCAGGCATCTTCAAGAGGAGGGAAATGTCACCATAGGCTTACAACTCGCAACTTACAAAGGAGTAAAGACAACGACAGCCCACCGAAGCGTTGCCAAGCCAATAATTCGGCAGGCCAGGGGCGCTTGTGGGACGTGGCAGACGCTGAGAGAACGTGTTGCTTTGGCTTCTGCTTACCTTTGCACCGTTTGGTAGACCTTGGCTCACCGCGGGGTAAAGCTGCATCTAGCGGGGTTCAACGCCGAAAGGGGGTACGGGGTGTCTTACCCGGTTATCGCATGGCGATACCTCCAAATATTCGCTTTCTCTTAAGGCTAAAAGGAACACCCCCCTCGGTCTCGCTCCACTTTTCCACTTTCTGCCCCGCCTTCCGCCCCTGGTTCATTGCACTTTCACTCATTCATCCACTCTCTCCCGCGTCTCTCATCCACCTCTCATCCACTTTTATCATCTCATCCACTCATCCCAATTCTTCCCCCTCGCGTCGCGCGTATGGCTGGCTCCTCCTCACGCCTCTAGTGCTAGCTGGCACCTTATTAACTCCCAAATAAGGTACTAACCAGCTAGAGAAATGTGACTGCATCTCATCATCCACAGTTCATCCTGCCCATCTCACCTACATGAGAAGATGCGCGAGACTTCGTGAACGGTGACGGAGCTATCCTCGTTGAACAGCCACGGACCAACAATTCCACGCGTCAGTCGTACAGGTAATAGGGCGATGCATCCAACGAAGGACTCCGAAAGTCGGAAAGTCGGAAAATTATCATGCTATTATCTATCGCAACGTTGGTTGCTCAGTCGATCTGCAAGGCAAGGCTGGGCAAGCAAAGGCACGTTGCAGTGTCCGTACGAGCGAGAGGATGAAAGTATTTGCATCTCGTTCTCTCATTCTGTCCGATGCTTTCTTTGCTTTTCGCTGTTCAACGGTTCGTTCATGTTGTTCAGTACCCCACAACAGCTGACCCTTGATCGGCCTCGGCGTTCATACCGGCTGACCTCCGGCACAGTCTTGAGCCTCGAAAACAACTCTTCTTTGTACACCACTTCATCAGTCAGGCACGCGATAGCACCATGTATTATTCCAATATTGTCAGCGCTGGGCTCTCTCAACGCACCATACAGCCTCATGAACCCGAAGTGCCAAGTCGCTAGAACATACACCAGGTTGCCAGCGTGGTCCGAAACTGAAGGCGAGGACAGCCAAGTGGCGTCCCGGCAGACTTTCGTGTTGAAGATGGATAGCAAATACGTTTCTCTGCCGTCGGGTTGAATGCCCATGGCTCGGGATTCTGATTCAGCCATCTGCACTTGAGCCATCCCCATTGCTCTCGGCGCAGCGACGTGGTTGCTTTTCCCTTCAGAATGGACCTCTCCCAGCTCGTATTAGTCGATACAAGCAAGCAGGTGACTAAAATAGCCCCATGTGCCGGTAGAGAGTACCATGAACCAAGAAGTGACTCGCTGCAAGGCACCCTTGCTCCTGGTTACCTATCCCACACGCGCCTGTCTGGACAATACCAGCACCACGCGCGAAATATCAGCCGGCCACTATGTCTCTGCGCTGTTGACTGCCCGGGCTGATCTGCCCTGTTTAATTTGCTCTGCTTGGAGCTGGGCGGCCGTCTACTGGCGCAGCTTGCAGTAGCCGATCGCTCACACGCCAGGTCAAGGTTGCATTTTCAGCCCATCCTCAGGCTGCTTATTGCTTAGTCTACTTACGCGAAGACGCTTCTGCTTCCGTGTTATATAACAATGGCCGGCCCCGAGCCGTCTAGTCCGCTTTGCCATTCTTCCGGACTACGGTGTAATTAAGTTGTCGAGTGCAGTGCTGCATCGTGTACATTGTCCCAATCTGGCTCAGCTTCTTCTTTATTGAACTCTGCTCTGCCAATTCCATTCGCTAAGCGCCATTTTCTTTTGCTTTAACCTTCGGGGAAGCCCATTCGTTACCACGCATATCCTCTCGCCGTGTCGACTGGCTAGTTGACCCTCCATTAGAATGCGTTTCACAACTCTCGCTTTTGCCGCCAGCTTGGGCTTGGCTGCTGCCCACAGTGCCCATGGCAGCAATGAGCAGCCTGTCCCAAACATCATGGCTGGGAGGAGGGCTTTGCAAGATTTTACTGCAGCTCGTCGGACAGTCCAGCGCCGCGCTGCCCATGCCGGGCCAGAGCCTGCGGCCTCAGGGTTGGAGAAGCGCCAGTCTCCTGACGGTCGCTGCGGTCCCGATCATAACAATCAGGTCTGCGACCAAAGCGACTGTTGTTCTAGTGCTGGGTAAGTTATTATTTGCGCACGACAGCTAGGCCTTCGGGAAGTCTAACCGTGCGACAGGTGGTGCGGTCAAGGCTACCTTTACTGCTCAGCTCCCTCGTGCATGATCGAGTATGGTCCGTCGTGCGATGCCAACATCCGCCCGGATGGACCAGACACGACGAATGTTCCCCGGACCAGACTCGGCTCTGTCCCTTATGGTCAGGCCATCTACCACTGCGAGCACTATGGTGACATCGCCTTAACCTTTGACGATGGTCCTTATATCTACACCGAGGATCTGCTGAACAAGCTGAAGGTATGTCGAGTCTCAACATGTGACTATCAATGAGCCGTGCTGACGTACATGCAGGCATACAATGCCAAGGCAACCTTCTTCATTACCGGTAACAACCTGGGCAAGGGCAAGATAAACGATCCAACCACCAACTGGCCTGCTCTCATTAGGGTTTGTCTGCATTTCTCCTGCAGCTTTGATCAATGACTGACCTCCTACAGCGCATGATTGCCGAGGGCCACCAGATTGCTAGCCACACCTGGTCTCATCAGAGACTTACGACTATCAGCGCCGAAAAGTTCCGTAACCAAATGATCTACAATGAGATCGCCTTTGCTGACCTTCTCGGCTACTTCCCAACATACATGAGGTATGCTCACTATGATCATGGTCAAGTGTGAAAAGCGTCTGTGTCTAACCAAATATAGGCCTCCCTATTCAGCCTGTGATGCTACATGCGAGGGCTATCTCAATGACTTGGGTTACCACATCACCTACTTCAACCTCGATACCGAGGGCTATCTTCATGACAGCGCCGACCTCATCCAAGATTCCAAAGACATCTGGGATGAAAACGTGGAGGGCAAGGACGTCGCCACCACCAAGTGGCTTCAAATCGAGCACGATCCCGTCTATCAGAGCGTCTATAACCTCACAGACCACATGCTCGAGTCCCTCTTCCGCAACGGATTCAAGTCTGTCACCGTCGGTGAATGTCTCGACGACCCCCAAGAGAATTGGTACCGCTCCGTCGGCGATGCCCCGCCATCCACCGGCACCGCCACTCGCGTAGCCACAGGGACTGCCACATCTTCCAGCGTCGCCGCCCCTACCGGCACTCTTCCCGCTTCCACCAACGGCCGCTGTGGAGCCAACTTTGGCAGCACAACCTGCTTCACCGAGCCCGGTGCAACCTGCTGCTCATCCGCCGGCTGGTGTGGCAACACGGCCGACCACTGCGGCGCAGCATGCCAGCCTCTATACGGCAACTGCCAGATCTCCGGGGCATCGAGCTCTCCCGCCTCTGTCAGTTCCGCGTCGTCGTCTGCAGCCGTACCCTCGCCGTCCATAACCAGCTCCGCGCCCGCGGCCACTGGTACCGCGACATCTCCGCCTCTTAGTACCAATGGGCGTTGTGGTACCACGCAGGGCGGCACCACTTGCATCAGCGAACCTGGCGCGACGTGCTGTTCGCAGTATGGATGGTGCGGTGCCACGACAGACCACTGTGGTAGTGGTTGCCAGGCTGGTTTCGGTACTTGCGGTACATCGAACTGATGATAGTCAAGTATGCGTGGAGGCCTCCTGATTCGTCCGTTGATCTTGAAACTTTCGACTTCTCGAGTCACCTCTGCTCTTTGAGCAGAGGAAAAATCTTTAGTGTGTAATCTGATAATGGGACCGCTGAGCTATCAGCGAACTCTCCGCGTACTTATTGGCGTTTAGGCTTAGGTGGAAATCAAAAGGATATCATGGGCGCTTGATAATATAATTGTAATGAGCAGGATCCTGTGCCAGTTGAATGAAACAAGGACAACCTCACCGTCTGACTCAAGCACCCTGTGTTCGTGATCTACTCGGGAGTATGGCGGCTTGCATGTTCGAGGCAGTATTTCCCCCAGTTGTGACCACCTATCTTAGGCCTTGAAACCGTGTAGTGTGCTAATACGAGATTACATCGTAAACTTCTGCTTTGCCATGGAGTCTAACACAAAGCCAAACGGCTCTCCTTCTTCTAGCATGCCTCTCGACTGTTCTCCGCAGTCGATTGCATCGATGCGAAAGCTTTTTGTGGACTCTGACCGCTGCGCTGGCGGGCTTACTATTCTCGAGCGTGACATCATGAGTAGAGATCAACTGCTCAGTGCACGAGTCTTGACTCGGAATCTGGGGTCTGGACCGTCCACAAACTTCTGCTGCCCGCGGCAAAAACTTCCGAAAGATGGAGGCCGGGCCGGTGTGGGTCCACCGCGGATCATTCGGAGTACCGCGTTGCCCGGTTGCCCGGAGAGAGAGTGCTGAAAGGCTACATAGAAGGCAGTAGTCGGGAATGCCACGCAGACAAGCCAGATGGATTTTCGAAGTTTCTGGGAGTCTTTGTTCTAAATAGTGAGTTCATCTGAATTTAGTAATAGCTCAGAAAAGAATAGAAAACTTCGTAGGGTCTACGGCAGCTTGGCCACGTTTCATATGATAGCCGAGACCTCCGCTGGTGGCCTTGGCGTGCCTCTCGGCTACAAGAGCCGGGGGGATCGTGTTCTTTCACCCACATTCGACGGAACTAAAAGATGTTGGTTATTCTCGTATTCAACTCTCTTTCGATCCAACTAGGAGATGAACACGCGAGCAGCGGGTGCTACACCTTGGCAGGCACACTTACTAACGTTCAGTTGACAAGCGGATGAAACAGCCGGCGGCGAACACCTTCATCCAATTTGAACTGTTTTTCACGAGTCAGTAGTTGCCTATCAGAGCTGACAAAATAGGGCAGGTCGGCTCGCACCCAAGATTTCAAGCAACCGCGAAGCGAACCGATAGCACCGACTAGATGTCGCCAGGCCGAAGGCTGCCCTGTTGGGACCACTTCATTTCGATATCTATCGACAGTGCCCCTGAGACCTGGTAATTGGGCGGTCAGAGGGGCATGCACAGCCGTTAGAACTGGGTGCTGGCTTGGCATTCTATGATCCCCTCTTGGCCCTGGTTTTGGCATGATTAAAGATTATAGCCTGAACTTTGAGCTGACAGAATATGGGTCCTTCTTGGAAGGTCATGCCTGACTGTGATCATGGCTGAGAAGTATCATATCCTATTCAGAGTGTAGCTGAGGTTTGTCAGCGGTCAGTTTCGATATATGCTTCCCGACCATACTGCATACGGCTTCTAGAACCAAAGATTAGCTAAATACTAGGTATCGTCAGCGTCAAGAAGGAGCAGGAAAGACATCGCTATTTCCCCCTTGCCGCTGACAGAAAAAGTGATTGAACGCCGTGTCAGGCGCCATTGACACTTCCTTGAGTGGCATTCATTCATATTCGAATCCATCGTACGTTACATCTGGGTTCATGAGAACTCAAAGCTCCTTAGACTGTAAGCGAGCTGGGCGAAAAGAAGCATCCTCCTTCAATCAAAGCCAAACCAATCCTATCTTTAGACTGGACGACTCCATTTCATGCCACTTGCAGGGCTGTGTTGATGGAAGTTGGAACGAACCCGCTAAAGACTTGGCGAGACCGTCTCCGCACCGGCCTTACAAGGAGACTCAAATAAACTACTTCGCTTTCCTGGGATACAGAAAAGATCCGGAGGGCTGTTAAGCGGTGTACAAGAAAACACAGTGGGCAGCCCTTGTTTCAAAACGTACCTGTTGCTCATTGTCGTTAATGCTTCGACGTCTTAAGAAGCGCATCGATATGGCAGCCCGTGGGTAGTTCCAGGTTAAGGGCCCACTAAGCACGAGTCGGGCGGCACGTGGAGAACCACACCAACTTACAAGCCAATTCATGCATGACTGGAAGATGACTGATCAGTCTTCAGCTCAGGAGCAGGTCGGTCTTGTTCTCAGGTATCAGAAAGATGCCTTTTCGAGTGTATAAGATCTCAGGGTCAGCTGTAGTGAGAAGAACAGGTTTGCTACACTCATCAAACTCATCTATACACTCTCTCGACTCGCTCTAGCTTACCAGGGCTCATTCCTTTGCCCTTTACATTCTTTATTTTTTCTTTGAAATCTACATCTTCTCTGTGTGTCACTACGAGTGCTTCTCGAAGAAGTTCTCATAATGAGAGCAAATCAACTCCTTCTGGCCTTGGCCTACACTGGCGCTATCGCTACCCCCGTTCCACAAGATACCGGTTCTGCAGACTGCAAAACTGAGGCTCTCAACCAGGACACATGGAAGACGCTCGAAATCGAGAAGTTCCTTGCTGAATGGACGACCTTCAACGTCAGCAAGGTAGAACATAACGCTGTCCAAAACTTTGCCAATTCCTTCGGCGCTCCCAACTTCTTCTGGTGAGTCTCAACCCATGACGTTGTCTGCAAAATGTGGACACTAATACCCAGGATAGCGGCCTCGATAGCTTCTGCAATGCCGGCCAACCCTGTTCTCCGGTCAAATTGCCCGGATGGTACGCTCTCGTTGCCGTTCAGAACTGGAATAGCTACATGAACTCTCTCAACACTGCCATCACCTTCGCCTCGAGCATCTTGAGCCTCACCCTCCCGGGCATCGTCCAAGACTTCTACCCGAACCCCAAGGACGATATCACAGACCTCAAGACCATGACCCGCGTCTTTGCTGGCGTGCTATCCATTATCCCCTTCACGGGTCCCCTCAGCACCGTTGCCGGCGCCGTCGGCAGCACCTCCAGCTTCATCTCCACCAATCTCAAAGCCCCTGAGCCCACCAACCTCTTTCTCTCTTGGAGCAATGTTGCCACTTCCCTAGGCAAGGTCGTTCAAAACTGGCAGTCTGCCGTTTCGTCCAGCTTCCAGACCACCATCGACGCACAAGTCAACGTCACGGAAGGTATTTTCCAGATCATCCGCGACGGAAAGTTCCTTGGAACCAGCCGCAATATCACCCAGGGTGACATGCAGAAGGAGATGACGCGCAGTTTGGAACTCTACACGATTGGCCTTGCCCTGCAAGCCCAGAAGGTCTTTGTCCTGCGCTCGCAGCCATTTGCCGAAAAGTGCACAGAGTATACCGAAGCTGAGCTCTGTTCGCAAGATCCTGATGGCCGCTGGCGTCAGTACATTCTCATCCAGCGCTCGGATCACAAGAACTCTATTGGGCGCAAGGATCTTATGAAACTCTTGACTGAGAAGTATCAGTTGAAAAAAGAGACTGTCACCAAGGAAGTGGCTGAATGCGTTGATGCTGCTGGAGGGAAGCAGTTGACGTATCCCTTTGGAGACATCCTGCCTGTTGACAGCACCACAAAATGCATTTTCAACTTGCAGGTTTGTACCTCACCACCAGGTGCGAGGGAGGGCATCATCACAACGTGTGAGGGACTTGGATTGGATGTTTAGGGTCTCCGTAGTCTCTGTATTAGCATAGTGTTTCTTTGAAGAATGTATTGGTTGATACCCTCAAATTTGATCTATGAGTACTTTGCTGCTAGTGTGAAGACTGTTCTCTCTCAGACTCCGAAGTGCAAGGCAACTCAGCTTGGTACTGGTATGAGAATACTACAGTATATATGTCAAGAAATTCAGATCTGCGCTTCTTAGATTTGGTCATATGTGAGCTATTGAGAGTGGCCTATCGAGAAAAACTCCGTATATTTTCAGTGCTACTTATTCCAAATTACAATTTCCAGTCAGCAGACGCTTAAAAGATTTTGATCAAAGGCTGCAGAGCACTGAATGAGTCCTTGACTGGTGCATTCTGTCCGCGCGTCTGGACGGAGACAGTGAGCTTGCTATGGATGTCCTCCTTATTCTCAGCTCCAATTGCCCTCATCAGATCCGCGCCAAAAGGGATGTAAGTATACGTCTCAAGCTTGTTCTTCTGACAGTTCTTGCAATTTGCGAGAGTCCATCGACTGAGGATTGCGTCGCGGTCAATCTCAATCTCACGACCGTCGGCAAGCTTGGCAGAGGTACGGATGACAAACGATCCCTCATGGAACGTGGTGCTGATGCCACTGACGCGGGCGACAGCGACAAGTGGAAGCTCAGGGTCGCCCAGAACGGGCCCACTGGTCAGAAGGTCAAGGGAACCCTCGCCATACATGTATCCCAACTGATTGATGTCGGTGATGTCGTCTGAAGTGTAGAACACAGGGTCGTTGATGCATCCGGACTTTAAGAAAGGTGCAAGAGGACTGCTCATCTCCAACTTGCTTCCCGGAGGGAGAACAGGGCTTCCTGCGCTGAGTGTTGCCGCTGTGATGTTGGGCTCCACTGACAGGTTACCCGGCTTGGTAAGGCGGTGCTTGACTTGCCATGTCCAGAAGACATAGTCAATGAAGGCATGGTGAAGGAAGAAGATGGGGTCGAAGTTAGCGGTTTCGTTCTCTCCCATGTCACCATGGGCATCCTCAACAGTTTTAGCGTTCTCTTCTCCATCTTGATAGAACCCTCCGATGGCAAGATGAACAGCGTTGTGTGGGTCTTCAAGAGAAGTATGGAACTTGCTCTTCAGTGAGCCTTTCATATCATGAAGCCACTCGCCCCTGGAAGCCTTGTTCGAGAACAGGAGAACAGCGTGTATTTGGGGGCATCAAGACTGGCCTTGTATCTCGAGACGATGGAGACAGTGTCCGGGATTGACGTTGGCGACGCCTTGCCGTCAATCTGAATCTTTCCGCTCAGCCAAGCTGCAATATTGCCGTTGAGAATTCTGGCATCCGAAGCGGGGTCTATTTCGTCCAAGCCAGTGACACCGGCAAGCGGGTAACGAGCCGTCTGTGATCCCGTTGATTTGCTGTAACGCTAGGCATCTGATGGCTTCCCGTGGTTGTCTGCAACTCCCTTCTGGAACTTGTAGGAGTAGAGTGGGTTCGTATTATCCCCATCAAGGTCGAAAGTCGGGGTGGTCAAGATCCAAAGGAGGGGAGTGTTCTGGTCGAAGGGCCAGCACTCGTCCAGGAATGGCAGGGCTAGACTTGGAGCATCGGGAACAGCCCGACGCATGGCGTCTTCATGCTGAAGGAGGTATGCTCGATGCCCAGTGGGGAACAATACTGTCTGATGTTGGCAGTAACCTCTCTGCCAATCGTCGTAAGTCGATCCGCCGGGATAAGGATTCTCATTTATCTATGGCTCTCCATGATATCCAGCGATAGTGAAGAAGGAGTCTTCGTTACTTGGATCAAGTTGCTGAAGCCTACGGAAGGCTCTGACGATGTTCTCTAGGGTATTGCGATCCTCGCCAGACGTGTACTGTTCGCACACATCTTGGAGAGAAGGACGGACTCTGGACATTGTGAGATCCGAAATCGGTGATCTAATAGAGATGGTCAGGGTTATTTGTGGATGATACTGCGTGCTCTGATAGCAGTGAAGCTAGTATCAAGGGAACCTCGGCGACTTCATACCGCTGAAGTTGCGTCAAGATCGATATCGTTGTCTCCAAAAGACGAGAGATGTAATAGTAGCCGCACCTTTTCTCATTCTCTCGGCTCCAATGCGGGGACTAGATCTCGATGAACCTCACGAATAGAGATATGCCAGATTACGTAGCCGCCAATGAGATCCTCGATGCGGCATGTTGAAACGCTAGTGATCGTCCAGGTGGTTGAATGCGCACTCTTGTCTCACTTTGCTCAGACTACTAAGCCATAAGATAAAAACGACTTACGCCAGAAGAAGCCTTACTTTTCTTGAGCGAAGTTGAAACTATCACAACGACTCTTTACATGTGATGGTGTGTCGATCAGTCACGGTCCACAGATGCAAGCCTCCGGTCCAGGGGCGTCGAGTGCAACGTGAACTGTTACCAAAGAGAACCGGCCGGTTACTACAGGTAGGAAGAATGCAGAAAGTATGGTCTCGTGTATCATGCCGATCACACCCTTTAGATCCGGCTCTTGTAGTTCGCACATCAATATCTCTGCCAGGAAGCAAGAATTGAACGCGACTGGAACAAACTTGACGATGTAAGCCGAGTCTCGGAATGGCAGAATGATTCGACGAACAGAAGATCACCACGGATCGACCCCAATATCGACATAATATGCCGAGGCCACTGCGGCAGGTACTTGAGCTTCATTCAACAAAGTCGCGAAGAGAATATCAGCATCTCCAACTACCTTAGTACGTCGCTACTGTCTCAAGGTCACAGGCTTCTGACCTATTATCGAAGTTGATTAGAAACAAAAAGTAAGGATCAGCATCGATTTGGTTCAATGGTAATTCGAATATCACGTTCACAAATATGCCGGAGTTGCGCGCACAAATAGCACAGTGACCACCCGTGTCGTATCGCACCGTTTTCGTGCGGCTAGAAAGCTGTTTCCATGGACTGTTCCCATCAGAGACCTCAGACCGGCAGTATCCGTAGCAGAAGCGGGGAAATAGACGAGACAATGACGTAAGTTGACCTGACATGGATACAATCCATTGTCTTAATCGATTCCCTAAGCTAGTGTAATTCAGGCCAGTCAGTAATCGAGGAGCTACTTCCACGTAATTAGATGCTAGTTCTGGATTCGAATCACGCAATTCTGGAGACAAGGTCATGGATCTAAATTCGATGACGGTTCCGAAGTCCATGTTGTTATACTCAAGTGATGAGAGCAGCACTTACGAAATTGAATCCGTGACAGAAAAGCACTCGAAAGAAATCTCGATTGTTTGGCAATTATCAAGCTAGTATTTTGGGGGACAATAGTGGTTGACGATGGCACTTCAATTTCTAAAGTAGGGTCATGAGGGCTACTCTTCACAAGATAGGTAGGCACGTGGGAATTGTAAGCATCCAGTCGCATTGGCATACACGGCGAGGTAAGTATTCTGCAGCCTTTAAGTCATCTATAATGCATCGAAAGAATCAAAAGTTCTGTGGCCCCTAAATGATTGTGTAGGGTTGGATCAACGCAATGTCTCTAGATACAATATATGCTCACGCCACATAACCCTCTCTTCTCTTGGGTTAAGTTTAATAAGTAGTATTCTAAATCCAATCCCATTTAGCAGTAAGCTTCGCCACAAGAAATGAAACCCATCAAACTCCGCACTCCTGTATCGTCTAAAATGCTAAAGCCTTGGAAGCCTTTAGAGAGCGGCTTGAATGTCCTTCTTCAGAGGCCGCATAATAGATTGCTGATTCATGGTGGCGACCATGTTTCCTTGTTGATCCCAAAGTCGGGCTTCAGTGTAAGTTCGGCCGTCGTTGCCAGTGATAGTCTTCATCTCTCTAAGGTGCCAGTTGTCCAGGTTGATTTCTCCAGTGAAGAACCTCAACGCAAAGTCTAGTGAGGAGCAAGGGCCGGCGTCATCCAGGAACTTGCTGCTGTGGGTCAGGGGGATGAAGGACAGAGCTGCGTCCAGAATGAACCCCAGTGCAGAGAACCGATCTTGGAGTCGCTCCAGGGAATGGCGGCAGCGGAACCAATCAGCTGATGTCTTGGATGTCAAGTCGAGACTTTCCTGGGGCGTCTTGACAGTCTTGGCCATGCCGTAGAGGTTGTTCGGTGCAACTGTCTCCGGACAGCCGCGGGTCTCAAAGAAGCGGTTGTTGAAACCAAAGGTAGCCAGGTACAGATTCCCCAGCTTTTCTGTCACGACGCCCCTCCGCACCTTATCTTCAGTGGCCTCCTGCGTTGTAAGACACTTCTCAGGCGGTGAGTAGCTCATTGATGGCGGCGCAGAGTACACGAGAAGAGAAGCCTCTTCTTTCACTTGGAAATCGGCTAGCATGATCATGCAGAGCCTGGATTTGCCATCGTCCTGGTCTTGGCTGATCTCGACCAATCTCGTAGCGAATGTTCTCGTATCGCGGACTCGTCGGACGGCACATTTGAGCTTGCGGTCTGTCAACGCCGGGCCTAGGTAGTTGCCCGTCGCCGAATAGAGCAGGTACTTGGGCGATACAGTGCTGCATGCCGCTTGAACGCCGATACTGATGGTACAACCCCCGTAGGCAATATTTGCCTTGTTTCCCATGCGGGCGGGATCGACGCGACTGGTGAAATGGTCTGATCCCAGGTCGTCTACCGCAACTTGCTCCTGCATTGTGCTGGCCATAGAACCGTGTGACATGTTGAGTAATTCGGCCTGAGCTGTCATATGGTAGATCCTTGCTGTGGTTCACACAAAGTTTGGACGGAAATACGACGCTGGTTTTGTTGATAAGACGTTCAGTAATCAAGCGATGTCGGCTCTGAGTTTATGTCCTTTCGTTGTCTAGATCGTTGCCGCCTAGTCGCGTTGGCGCGCCGCCTCGGCGCCTCCAACAGGTTGGGGAATTGGGGGGCCGCTCACAACCGAGGTTGGCGTTTGAGGAATGTGAAGGTGGGGCAGGCCGGCCATGCTTGCGCTAACAAGTGAATTAGCAGTCATTGCCATGTTGCCTTTATGAACATGGATTCCAGGAGATTTAATACAATCAGCACATAATATGCATGTAGGCTGTCAAGATTCGAACCCTTGTTGTCTCTTTTGTGAATATACTTACTTCCCCTGGAGACCCTGTCCTCATGCCAATACAATAATTGAACTCACCACCTAGAACCTTGGAGCTTGGTGCTACACGTGTTGGTCTCCAAACTGATTTCCGATTTGGTTTTGGTTGGTCCTAGGAAGGTTTGTGATGCAATTGCATGGGCCGGGAGCTTGTCTACACCTCGGCTGTAAGTGGGGCCGAGGAGGTTGTGTCCGTGACCTCGGACTTTGAATTGCCTTCAACATTTTGTGGCTGGATTTTTGTTATTTGATATGTCTAATTACATGTACTATATTTTCCTTGGAAGCCTGACGTCGATCTTTTGCGCCTGTAAAGCCGGGAAAAAAGGGCCACATACGATCAATCCGCGACCATTCATTTTGTGTGGTGCAACCTCAGTTGGGGCACCTATTGTTGCTAGTGACAAGAATGAGGATGAGAGGGTATAAAAGCTTACGGTTCTCGTGTATTATATTCGGGGGTAACGAGCATTACCTATCGTGATAGATTTCAGTTCTCCAGATAGCATGTTCCTGTCGCAGCGCTACACTTGGCGCTGCCCAATGTGACTGTATCGTACTGCAATGCGAGACCTCGACTCTTCGGGCATATGTGTATGACCCATCATTGGGTCCTTCTTTTCCAGGAACAAGCCACATTATACTATCGATGTCTTCCACCTGATCCTTCGCTCTGCGATAACCTTGTCTATAACCTCGTTTGAGGGTTAGAAGCCATAGCTTGTTTCCGTCGAACTAAGGCACGTAGACCCATGGCAAGAGCACCCTCTTAATATATATCAATGGCATCTTTTCTTCTTCACAGGCACCAACGACATGACCAATATCTTGGGACGGAAGTGCACTAGGTGATCAACCGTCAGGTTGTGTAAAGACCCCGGCCTAAAACACATCGGAATAGTGTGAGCTATGAGAGTCTACTGAGAGAAAGCATTAGTTGTGTGCAGCAAACTCCGAAACACTGTCAATTACTCTAGAGCAGAGTTGTTTTCAATTCTTAGGAATCAACAGACGTAACTACAGTTTGTACATCCGTCCGGATGCTAGGGGTTAAAGTGTAGAGTCAGGAACTCATGAGGTCTTAATTCTAGAATAAATTGTTTATTCAAGCTTTTTGAAAGGCAGAGAACGCAAGCTTCCTACAAAATTTTGATCTCGTTCCTTGATTCAAGTGTGATTGCGTGGCAGTCGGCCTGCGAAACAAAGTCACGCTTCGAATTGAAACTTATAAATGTAACCGGACATCAAATCAAGTTTAGTAGTTCTGGTGCATTTATGTAACGTTCTCAGCCGTGGGTATCTCGTATTTTAGTCCTTGCAGACTTTGTGTAACTATTAATTATTTACAGGGTGGTTTCATAATCTAAGACGAACGGCAGGCAAAGGGCTTGTGAGCGCTTCCAGAGCTTGTCTCGTCGATCTTTTCGGTGTTAGTACATTGGACGTACGGTACAGTGAAGTTGTTGAACTTACAATATCAACGATAGTTGAGTAGGTGCCGGCAACCAATGTGACAGCTCCGACGATGAACGCCAAGATGCTGCCAAGACTGATGAGGATGTTCTCGCGCGCGAACCATTTGCCCTTGCAGAGAAGGGTGAACCACATGATGGCAGGAATGTAAAAGGAGAATCCGGAAACAAACAGCGCCGAAGCCAACGAGAGCAGGTCGGAGAAGATGGGAATAGCCTCAGCAATCACCCACGCAATAATGGTGAACACGACAACAAGGATGATCCAGCTGGCCCAACCCATGGGAGTGTTGATGTACTTCAAGTGAGAGTTCTTGTACATGCGGCCGTGAATGTATCGCAGGGCGACAGTCGAGTTGATAGAACCGGAGATGAAAATGACTGGAATAGCGACTCCAAAGGCGATCTTCGAGATAAGAGGCCCGGCAGAGAGGAGGGCAGGGGATTGGACCGAAGGGCCTATGAAGGCGTAGCAAAGAGCGCCAGTAAGGGTATAAATGGCGATCTGAATGAAGCCAGAGGCCCAGATAGACTTCATGTAGTCGGTAGGCGTATGCATCTCGTCCATGAAAGAGAATTGACCGATGGCGAAACTGAAGGCGAAAATGATGTTGCTCACGGCAACAAAGGCCTCAGAGAAGGTCACACCCTCCCTGGGCCAGGCAGACCACTCGATGCCGGAAAGGCCGCCGGGGCCGCTGTTGGCCTGAATGCCGGTGGCGATGACTGTGATTCCGATGGCAGCCAGAATGGAGACGAAGTCGATGTAACCGAGGATAGCGACCTCGGTGAATGAGGGCGGGATAGCAAGAATCAGGAGAATGATGGCTGACACGGCCGAGAAGACGATGGAGCAGACGTGACCGCCGTTGATATCGACGAGTGCAATGCTGCCAGTCAAGGCGTGAGAACCAACAACCATGACGAGTTCAAGAACAAGCGCAGCTCCGAAGATCTCGTATCCGATGCGTCCATAGCGACCAAAGAGAAGTCTTCCGGCTTCCGCATAGTTGGCGACGTGCGGGTGGGCCAGCTTGACCTGGCCAACGATGTAGCTGGTGAAAATCGAGAGCATGCCAATGGTAATGGTGAGGAAAACGCCGGGGAACATTCCGAGGGTGTGGTAGGCGGAAGGCAAGCTGAGAGCACCAAGGGCAACGGCCTCGACAATGGTGACGATTGCCAAGCGCTTCCAGCCCAGACGGTGGAAGTGAGCGCTACCCTGGGCAGCGATCTGCTTGAGGCGATCGTTGTTCATCTCGTCGCTCGTCTCGCCGAGCATGGTGTTGTCGTTCATCTCGGGCCAAGGGTTAGGGGGTTGAACCATCTCGGCATCAGGTCCGTCCTCCTTGTGCTTGGAGGACTTGTTGTTGCCGTGGTCGGCCGTGTGGGAGATGGCGTCCGTCATGATGGGAGAAGACGTGTTTCAACCGCGGCGAAGTTGAAGACGATTGGTGGACGACAAGAGGCAGTCCGAGGGGAGGTCGTTGAAGTGATGGGATGGAAGAAGCCAACGGAGAAAGGAGGGCTCGAGGGGCAAGAAGGGCACGACGCGTCTGACGTTCCTGACTTTTAAAGATCAACGTACAGGCGCGAGTCAGATGGATTCAGGGTCCACATGGCGGTAGACGGACTGGACTCATCCTTGACAGAGGTTGTCGTCAGTTCGGTAGCCCGGTGAAAGCCGGGCCACCTCCACAGAATGATCTCGCCCCCATGGGCGGGAAAGATAACAGATCGCCCTGCAATACGGGGAATGCACTCCTGAGTTGATAAGATCTAATTGTTTTGTGTCACTGCTGTCGAATTGCCCCGGAAACTCTGGATTACGAAGTCCCTGAGTGGGCGTTCTTCGGCCTGTTCTTGACACTGACATTGCGGAGGGCGCAACGAAGAAGTTTCGATGTCGTAAAAGAAGCTTTCCATGGCATGTTGGAGCCGCGCTAAGAGACCCGCTCGGCGGTTCTCGATGGAGCCTTTCTCGATTCAGAAACACAAGCGAGGAGCTTTTAGGTAAAAGATGGAGACAGTTGCGGCTCCCGCGAGATTCAGATGAGTGCAAGAATTTTCCTACAGCAAAGCCGAGTAAAAACCGCCGCTAACCACCGCGTCAACATGACTTCGCCGTCAAGTCTTTTGCCTGCCACGGAGCCTGTCCGGAGGTCCAAACGGGGCCGTATTACGTCCATGAAATCTCTCTATTGGGCGTACTCGTCGGTTTGTACGTTTTTATTCAAGGGCTGGACTTGTTAAAAAGTGGACATTGTCGCCTTTACGATGTGCCAAGTGACATACAAATTTGCTCACCAGTCAACAGAGATAAGGACTTGTGATTTGTTATGGTAAAGAGCTGTTAAACGACAGCTACAATGTAGAATCCCGCTGAGCTGCTCCCGAGGCACAACATCAACATGCGAATTCATGTCTGATGTCTCGACCCTTGCGCATATCTCTTCACCTCCCATTCGTATGATCGTGTTGAAGGGCAACGGCTGCAGGCTTTAACCCGCTTTGGCCATGGCGCGAAAATTTCTCCGATCTTGGTTCCTGCATCTCGGGTTTAGAAGGCGGGCTTGGTCTACCCCCCCCCCCCCCCCCTGGCCAGAGATGGGTCATCTTTCTCAAGTCGCCTCTTCAAAATCGGGGTTTGGTTACTGTTAGAGACCTCCACGTGGCGTCTACCCGGCTCTCGATCTACCAAGTTGCGTCTCGCTACAGATCAGCGGAAGGTTTCGCGCGAAGTTTATTGAGCGAGTAGAGAAGTGAACGGGAGATAGATATGCCTATCCGTACCCTCTGTGTTTGCCTAGACCTTCACTATCGTCATGTTATTCGCCAGAACTGGTATGGTCTCGAACTTTACCGCTTCAAATTTCGCGATGTGTCGAAGCTTTTGGGCTAGATGTATCTTCAAAAATCTTGTACCGGGCTGTCATTTGGGATCGGCGAGCAATGGGGCTCGAGAGCCCGACTTAGTGACGACAGAGAAGAAGTAGTTGTGACAATAAATAAGGGTGATTGCCTAGAGCATCGGGGTTGTTACAAAGGCCATCTTCCTATCATTGGTTTCAAGAGAGGCCCTATGAACCAAAATTTTAGCTACGCGACCCACCAGTTCATGTGTTCAAATGA